TCATATCATACAACATTGTGCCTTGTTGTTGACGGATGTGCTTTTCTCTTGATTCCTCAATGTATTAGTTTTCTGCGTGTCAACAAGTCCTCATCTCCGCACGTGTTTCCTTCTGTGGGTTTCGTTTGTGTGCTTTCAATGTTTCACTCTTTGTGTTCCTTCTGTCTTGCTCTGTGGTAGCGTTGCTGGGCATGTGTTGGACTAGCGACTTAGCGAGTCCTTTCACGGCGCACATTAAAACTCTCACAGACCACGCACGACCAGACTGCTGAAATGTGAGTACACGATTGTTGCGCAGACCATCGGAACAAGAATCATCTGAGCAAGATGTATCCGGGCAACTGGGCTATCCCCTTTGTGATTGGGACTTTGCATCGGCAAGGGCGTCATCGCTCTTCGCTTGCAGAGCAGGACACGAGGGCAGAGTATAGGAGTATGCCATCGTCGTCGTGGGTGGGATCGCTGTTGACAGGCAAGTCCTGTCTGCTGAGTCATCATTGACCTCCCTTCTTCACGACACCACAAATTCACATTCACCTCTCTTGTGTTCTGGAATGTTCACGTGATTTCCCTCCAACCTGTTGCACGTGCAGTGTTTACCTTGTGTGGTTGCTCGATGTTACATGCTCTTGCATAACACACCACATAACCACACAACTCTCAACAAACACTGCCACGTCACCACTTTGCGTTGTCGACAATTCTTGTCTTGTGCTCTGTTTCTTTCTGTTGGAGTGTTCATTCATCCTACATCCTTGTTTGCTTCACAACTCAAGTAAACACACACAACTCTCTCTTGCCAAGACAATCTCCCACACAACACACAGCACACTCTGCACACACAGCACACACACACACACACACACACACACACAAGTCTCCAACAACAGCACCACCAGCATGAACTTACAACAGATTATGAGACCCAGCTCAATTAGCGCCGACGGCATCAAGGTCTTCGCTGGCGCTGAGCAGGATGCCAACCTCTTCTTCATCACCGTCGAGGCCAAGCTCATCGCCGCTGGCATCGACGCTGGCATCATCGCCGAGGGTGGTGCTGACCACCAAGGAGACGGGCAGGCTCCAGCAGCTGCCTCATCGCCGAGCCCAAGCACCCACGGTGCTTCGGGTCCCCGCACTCGCTCCCGCGCTCAACGCGGCCCGCGCCGCACTGGCGCCCGCCACGACGTGGCGGACCATGATGACGACGATGACGAGGGCGATGGCGACGACCACGGCGCTCAGCCATCTTCCTCCTCTTCCTCTCTCCCTTCTTCCGCCACTCCGAGCGGAGGAGCGCAGGTGGCGTCCCGAGCCTCTGGCCTGCTGGATCCCCGTGATCCACAGGTTGACGCAGCCATCTTCGCGTTCCTCCTTGGCGTCCTGACGGGACACCCGCTGCGGCTGGCCATCACCGACAATCGTGGCCGCTCCGGTGTGCTTGCGCTGCGCCGCCTCCGCGAGCGCTACATCCGCAGCGGCAAGGACCACGTCAGCCGCCTCAGGCAGCAGCTCTCCTCGACCACCTGGTTGCCCACGGACACCGTCGACACGTTCATGTCCCGCATCACGGACATCAACTCGCAGCTCCTTGCTGCCGGCGTGTCCATCCCGGAGGACGACCTTCGCACCCTCGTTCGCAACGAACTCCCCGCAGAGTTTGATGTGGCGATGCGGTTCATGGAGCGCGAGGACCCGCCGCCATCGCTATCCAAGATGACGGCGGACCTCATCCAGGAGGAGCGCCGCCTGCATCGACCCAAGAAGCGCACGCCTGTGCTCGCCATCGGTGGGCCAGGCCCCGGCTCCTTCGCTGCATCACCGATGCACGCTGGCACGTCGCCCTCCGACACGAGCGGTGGACCATGCTGTCCACCTGCAGAGCGCGTGACTTGCGCGTTCTGCAACTTCCGCGGCCACTGCGCGCAGCAGTGCCGCAAGCTGCAGGCGGCCAAGCGCTACCACGTCATCGATGTGCGGCAGATCCTGGCTACGCTTCGCAACCACGGCAACGGCAACGGCAAGCGGCCAGGATCCTCTCGCCCGCAGCACGGACGAGCAGCTCCATTCAAGAAGGCGGCCGTCGTCAGCCACGGCCCTCAGCGCGTGGAGACCTTCGCCATCCACCACGATGCCCTCATGCTGCAGCCCGAGGGCGAGGAGGAGGGCCACGCCATCGGACCAATCCCACCACAGCTATGGCTCGCTGACAGCGGTGCCACGGCGCACATCACCAGCGACGCCTCCCTCCTCACCAACTACATCGCCGTCACGCAGCACGTCACCGTTGCCAACAACCAGACCGTCACGGTCATCGGCAAGGGCGACGCCATGCTCCGCGTGGCTGGCACGACGCGCTCAGCACCATCACGCTGAGACGTGCTGCATATCCCC